TTGTTGACATTGAATTTTTTTTGTGTTTTGTTTGTTTTATCTTTTGTTTTGCTTTGCCTGTGGAAAGAAGAATTTGATTTGCAAGTAGACAGTATCAACAGAGTTTATTGTGGTATCAGAACTTTAAATTTTCTATGCAGAAAGACAACTTAATAATACTTCAAAGTTTCCTTTTTCTTATAAACCATACCAAACAAATATTGATATAAACCCTTGAAATCCAGCAATAACCTCTCAAAGCAGGCATCTCATGATTTCTTAATGTTCATTATTCACTAGTGAAATAACTAAAAACAAATAGTGGTCTATTATTCTCCATCTGGCATTTTTAAATATAAACCCTATAGTAATTCACTGTGAATCATAATTTAAAAAAAAAAAACAAAAAACTTCCCAATCTAAGGAGATAAACCCAAAATAATGAATTTACTTATTATTCTTGATCCTACAGGAAAACCAAACATTTTTGGGGTGGCGGGGGTGGTGGTAAGAACAGATGCACTCATTTGCAGAGAGGGACTTTTGTAGTATTTCATGGAACATAAAGTCAGCAGAGACTTCAGAGAAATTCTGTATTGTGAACCTAGGCATTATTTTGCCGAAACTATCTGTTAATTAAAATTTTAAAATAGGAGGAAGGAAAGAGACTATAAATAAGTTTCTAGAGAGCCAGAATGCATCTGTTGAAAATTTAAAATCCAGTATCTTTTCACATTAAAACATGGCATCCTTTTGCCCAGTAACGAACATATGGACTATGTTTCAAAAAAATTATACATTAAAAATATGAAATTCAGGAAATTTTTAGAAAAATTCTTATGGGTTATGAAGAGAAGTTAGGGAAAATGCTCTCATCAAACACAGACAGTTGGGTGAAGCATTAATGTAACATAAGATTTACTATGGATGTTCTTTTGACAAGAAGGGGAAGGATGTCATTGACAGATACTCCTGTTTGATAGGTGGGATGTTTTGGGGGACTATATGTGGAGAATAACTAGCATTACTCAATCTACTTGTAATAAATAGTGGCAAAATAAACAGATTTTATGATGTTGTTATTAGCTGCTGTTGAATCATCCCTTGATGCAAAGTAACCCCATGATGACAATGAAACAAAACGCTGTTCAGTTCTGCACCATCCTCATGATTCGTTGCAGATTGGACCACTGAATCCAAAAGCTTTTCTTTTGTTGATTTTCAGTCTTCTATCTTAATCTATCTTAGCCAGGAATCTCCACGAAAACCTTACCAGCATCATGTTGTTGTTATTGTGTGGTGTCCAGACAATTCTGACTCATAGCGACCCTGTGAAGTTCAACGTCATAGCAGCACATGAATTTCCCAACCCATGGATGGTGGTTGTGTGTGAGCCACATTGACTAGGATTGAACCTAGGTCGTCCATATGAAAGGCAAGAATTCTACCACTGAGCCACCACTGCCCACTTTGAAATTTTGATAGAAATATGTTTTTACTTTGCTGAATTTACGAGAATAGCAGTTCCCAGAGTATATTCTACTTAGCACACAACCATAATCATTGCTTGTTCTCCCTTTTAGTAATCTCCAGGCAAAGGACAGAAAACTTCGTTTTTTTCAAATATTTATTTTTCTTGAAAATTTAGCTCATAAAAGCATTCAAAAATAAGATTCTTATTTTAAACTGGAGATATAGTTAACTATTTTGGGGGGCCCTTTAGACACCAACATTCAAAGTTTTAAGTGATTTAAAATAGAAATGCTAAGCAATTCCTGTCTTTTAGCTTTAACCTATTTTATTCTTTAAAAGTCTAACTTGTTATTCTCTGTACATTATTCTAAATGCCTATGTGTTTTTCTCTGCTATACCCCTCTTCTACCACTCATCCATCAGTTTGTTGTACTGTATTGGATTGCGTGTTGCTGTGAGGCTGTAAACAAATAAGAATGACCAGTAGTTAGAAAATGTGGCCTTAGTGATAGAAACGATACTGAAGATCATATGATAGCAATTTGCAATACCAATGACTTAATCATTAGTAATACCTTTTTTAAATAATATAAAAGAAGACTATGCAAGAAGATCTTACCAGCTGCAACACAGAAAAATCAAATTGACTATATCTGTGGGAAGAAACGGTAAAGAAGCTCCATATCATCAGCCAAAACAAGGCCAGGGGCAGACTATGGAACAGACTCATATATAAGTTCAGGCTGAAGCTGAAGAAAATTAAAACAAGTCTTAAGAGTCAAAATTTGACCTTGAACAAACCCCACTTGAATTTAGAGACCATCTCAAGAACAAAATTAATGCAGTAGACACTAAAGACAAGACCAGAAGAGTTGTGGGGTGGCATCAAGAACATCATACAGGAAGAAAGCAAAAGGTCGTTAAGAAGACAAGAAGGAAGAAAAAGGCCAAAATGGATGTCAGAAGAGATTCTCAAACTTGCTCTCCAGTGTAGAGATGCTAAAGAAAATGGAAGAAATGGGGAGGTAAGAGAGCTAAATAGATAATTTCAGAGAGCAGCTCAAGAAGATAAAGTCATGTAGTATAATGAAATGTGTAAAGATCTAGAGTTAGAAAACCAAAAGAGAGGAACACACTCAGCATTTCTCAAGCTGAAAGAACTGAAGGCAAAAAGTCAAGCCTTGACTTGAAATACTGAAGGATTCTAAGGGCAAAATATTGAGTGATGCAGAAAGCATCAAAAGAAGATGGAAGGAATACAGCGACACTGTACCAAAAAGAAATGATCAATGTTCAACCATTTCAAGAGGTAGCATATAATCAAGAGCCAATAGTACTAAAGTAAGAAGTCCAAAGTATACTGAAGGCATTGGCAAAGAAAAGGCTCCAGGAATACATGGAGTGCAAATTGAAATCTTTTCAACAAACATATGCAGCACTGGAGGCACTCACTCAGCTATGCCAACTGATTGGAAGAGATCCATGTTTGTACCTATTCCAAAGAGAATTGACCAAGTAGAATGCAGGAAATGATCGTTAATCTCACATGCATGTAAAACTTTTCTGAAGATAATTCAGAAATGACTGCAACAGTACATTGACAGAGTACTGCCAGAGGTTCAAGCTGGATTCAGAAGAGAATGTGTAACAAGAGATATCACTGTTAATGTCAAACGGATCTTGGCTCACAGCAGAGAATACCAGAAAGATGTTTACCTGTGCTTTGACTATGCAGAGGCTTTTGGCTGTGTGGATCTTGACAAGCTATGGACCACATTCTGGAGAATGAGTGTCCCGGAACACTTAACTGTGCTAATTAGTAACCTGTACATAGACCATGAAGCAGTTGTATACAAACATACAAGGGAACACTGAATGGTTTAGAATAAGGAAAGGTTTTATTCTTTTCGCATACTTAATTCAATCTGTTTGTTGAACAAATGATCCAAGAGGCTGGATTATATGAAGAGCATGGAGTCAGGAGCGGAGGAAGACTCATGAACATCTGTAATATGCAGATGATGCACCCATGCTAGCTGAAAGCAAAGAAGATTTAAAATACTGATGAAGACCAAAGACTACAGACTTCCATATGGGTTGTACCTCAGTGTAAAGAAGAAAATAAAAAATCCTCACCACTGGACCAATACATAACATGATGACAAATGAAGAAAAGATTGAAGTTGTCAAAAACTTTCTTTTACTTAAACTCATTATCAAAACTCATGGAGGCAGCAGTCAAGAAATCACATGACGTATAGCATTAGGCAAATCTGCTTCACAAGACGTTTTTAAAGTGTTTATGAGCAAAGATGTTAGTTTGCAGACTAAGGTGTGCCTGACCCAAGCCAGGGTATTTTCAGTAGCCTCATATGCTTGTAAAAGTTGAACAGTTAATAAAGGAAGCGGTATTAGAATTGATGTATTCGAGTTATGGTATTGAAGAAAAATATTGAAAGTACCACAGACTGCCAGAAGAACAAACAAACCTGTATTGGAAGAAGTATAGCCAGCATGCTCTTTAGAATCCAGGATGGGGAGACTTGGTTTCTCGTACTTTGGACATATTATCAGAAGGGACTAGTCCCTAAATAAGGACATCATGCTTGGTAAAGTGGAGGGTCAGAGAAGAAGAGGAAGACCCCCAACTAGATGGATTGGCACAATGGCAGCAGTAATGGGCACAAGCATAGCAACGATTATGAGGATGGTGCAGGACTGGGTGGTGTTTTGTTCTGTTGTGCGTAGGATTGCTATGAGTTGGAACCAACTTGATGACACCTACCATCAACAACAACAATACCCCCCCTGATCTAATTTAAAACACACACACACACACAAAGGGGTCTGAAACCAAAATGCTATAATTCTTTAAGGAAGCAGATAACCTCACTCCTACTAATGGAAATCTGCATGTAGCTGAAAGTGAAGTATTATATTTTTATTTTTGTAAAGGGGGAATCAGAAGTAGTTAATGTGTCTTTGCACAACGAAATAAAGTAATAAGACTACTGTCTGTTACTTTGTTCCCTTTTACATTGTCTTTCAGTTCATTGAAATTATGTTGAAAACGTCATTTTCATTAATGTATTTAGGAACATATCTTATTTAAGAAAATAAAATTTTCTACTTTAAGGAAACGGTTTCATTGCCAAATTAGATTTTTCAACCCTTCTTGTGTGCTTTTAACAAAGACAGAAAACCATATGAAAATTAATCATCCAGTTGTTAAGTGCCATTGAGTTGGTTCCGACTCTTAGCGACCGTGTATAGGATTTCTGAGGAGCAGCTGGTGAGTTTGAATCACCAACCTTGTGGTTGGCAGTCCAGTGCTTATCCTACAGCACCATACCAGGATATAGGATTTATTTATTATTCACCATTTTACATTTCCATTATGCTTATTTCTGAAGAGTCTTTGTAAAAATCTATTTTCAAATTGTCAGAAAGATTGAATTCCTCATAGGTATATATATGAGCAGAGGAAGCATTATTTTATAAGGTTTCGCCCATGAAATGTGTCTAATTTGCTATAAATTTAATTTTAGCCCAATCGATTGAGCAGCGACTGATGAAAATGGATCACACGGCAATCCACCCCCATCTACTAGATATGAAAATTGGTCAAGGCAAATATGAGCGTGGGTTCTTCCCAAAGTTACAGGCCGATGTCTTGGCAACAGGACCAGCCAATAACAAGTAAGCATATTCTTATCTTGAATTGAAGGAATGAATGAATGAAGAGTGGAATGTTCTGCAACATCTTCTCTATCTAGGTATTCTTTAAAAAACAAACTTATTCTTTTGAAGTTGGATTGACATTGGGTATTGGACTTTAAATTCTGTTATATAAAATAGAGATTTTAATAACCTTTTTCTCCCTATTCATTTTCATAATAGCTACATTTTAAGTGACTCTGGTTAAATATAAATGTTTATACTTTCTAATGTAAATTTTAAAAGGTAAGCTTTTACCATCTTTTCATTTATTATCAAGTGCAAAAAATTATTCAACAGACAGAAATACAAACAAGCTACCATTCTTTATGGTAGATGATGCCATTCAGAATCTATCTGAATATGTTTTGAAGTAAAAGCTGTTATTTGGTTTCAGGGAGATTCATTCTTTTAGATTATATAAACATTTTGTTAATAAGTAATTATTTTAAGGGCCCATAAGGAGCAAAGCAATGGAGGATATTGGGAAATATGGCAAGTTGAAATGAAAAAGATTTGAATTAGAAATCAGTTTGAGAATTTAGTTCATTCTTAGCTATTCTTAGCTTAGTTCATTCTTAACTAACTTAGAAGCCTTGGGCAAGCTGGAGGCACTTGCTTATTTCCTCATCTGAATACTGTATATACTTTAACCTTATACAAATCTGTGTTCTACTTATTAAGGAGACTCATGAAAGGAAAGTAAAATGAGCAAGGTATTGCCAAAAAAAAGGGTAGAAGACTTAAGTAAGACACTGAATACACAAAATGGAAACAGCAGTGAGCCACCTGAATTTTCAGTAGTTTCATATGCAGGATATCAGTACAGAGGAGGAAGGGTGGGATTCCACCTTCTGAGCTAAATAAAGTAAGAGGAAGATACTTCAATGTATGATACTTCTCCCTCCAGATGATCTGCTGAACTGTATGCTTTAGGAATTTGGGGTACTTAAGCTCATTGAGCCTCGATGTAGCACTGCTGGATAAGCACTGGGCTGGATAGAAATGATGGAAAATGCTCTGAGGATTAAAATTTAATTTGATTTACTTAAGTCCATATATGGCATATTCCCTAATAGTTTGGTTTTACTTAAAAAGACACAACCCTTACCTTCCGCCTCTAAAAACCTAAAATCTGTTAACATAGGTAGGCCTTGTGTCACTGAATGACAAGCACTGGGCTGCCAATCACAGGTAGGTAGTTCAGACTTACCAGTTGTCCTCGGAAACCCTATACAGGGTCACTATGAATCAGAACTGACTCAGCGGCACACAACAGCCTTATTAATTGATATTTTTCATGATCTCATGATCCTATTGCTAAAGAAAAAGCAAACTAGTATCTTATTAATTGTGATGGTGACACCTGTTTTGGCCTCATTACTTTGTGAAGGTTGAATGTAAACACTGCCCATGGCACTGTGGACATCTGGTGTGGCTATAGGATCAGCACTGGACTGCAAAGCACAGAGTTAGCATTTCAAACCCACCAGCTACTCCTCTGAAACTTTATTCAGGGTTGCTATGAGTCGGAACTGACTCCACAGCACTTAGTAACAACAACAACATACGTGGCACTGGACTTCTAACCTCAAGGTCCACAGTTCAAACCTCTCAGCCACTCCTCAGAAGTCTTATACAGGGTCATTATGAGTCAGAATCCACTCGATGGTGCTTAACAACAACATAACTAAGTTAAGTATTGTGGTATTCAGACTTTTTTGCGATGCACGTATATGCAGGAATATGTGTATATTCTGGTGTTCATGTTTGTACTGTTAATGTCATATTTTTAATAACCTGAAGGAAATTAAAACCGTCTTATATTCTTGACTGACTAGTTGAAGATACAAGTGTGAGAAAGTCAAAGTAATTGCAGGTGCATCAAAGGAAAATGAGTTGGTATATGTGTGTATGAACTAAAAGAAACACACTATTGTATACACTGCTGAATGTATAATTTAGTTTTGTATTTATCATTTTAAATCTCCACTCCCTACAGGTCTTAGTCAGAATATCAGGAAATTTCACCACTGGCTTATTTAAAATAATTGCTATCTTCCTTCTAGCCCTTTTTTCCTACTTTTGGGTATACATTTACTACCAGTGAGGCTTCCTGTCTAATAGAGGGATAGTTATGGAGGTGACGCTGCTGATAATGTTGTGTTGTTACATGCTGTTGAGTTGGCTCCAATTCATAGCAACCCTCTGTAGGGTTTCCGAGAAGCAGCTGGTAGATTTGAACTGTTGACCATGCAGTTATAAGTCCAGTCTGTGCTAGCTTCTCTCCCGTCTGCATCAAGTACATTATCATTAATCCGTATTACAATCATATCCCTGTATACATGAAACAAGTAAAACCTATGTTCTTATGCCCGTTTTGTAAACGAGGTCAAACAATTTGCACCGCAATCACATAGCTAAGAAATGGTGAAATGGATTCAAACCTACACTGTTTAATACTAACCTACATACTAATACGTCTATACATCAGGGTGTGACGCATGCCTTTTATGACTTTCTGAGATGAAAATTATGTTTGGTAGCCCTAATAAAATTTAAAAAACAGAAAACATTGAATATACAGGGAGTTTGGCAATAGCCTTTTACAATAATCCAGAATGAAAAGACCCTCAGATGACTCACCTCTGCCTTAAACTAGGCTCTGTTAAGAGAGAACTCAAAAATAAGTAGTGTTTTGGGAAGCAAGATATAGTCTTTGAAACTGTCTCCCCTTTTTAAGCAGTGATTGCAACCAGGTAGCCTAACACCAAAGCAGATGCCATTGGTATGTGCAACTAGAAGTCAGAACCTTGATTTGTGGCAGAGCTGTGATTAGATCCCAGGTCTCCTTACCCCATACCATGTTCTTTTACGGTGGTATCTCATTCATGAAGACCCTTTGGAGGTCTGAAGAAATTTTAGTACCAATATCCGTTTAAATATTTGGGGAAGGAACACTATACAATAAGAATTGTAAGTTAATTTTTTTTTGGCTGAGCTCCTTTGCAGCCGTACCTTTTTTGCTATAGACCTGTATTGCTAAATATTCGGTGTCAGATACCCATGCCTAGGTCTTTGCGTGTTTTGCTTGTCCTTTATATCCTATTCTTTGCATTTATTTATTCTTCAGCAGAGTTTATATTCTGTTTCAGGTTTCATATTCCCCCTGCCCGGGTCCTTCTCTTTTCAGTCACCCAATTCTATTTGTACTCTTTTTGTTGTCTTAAATTGAGCCTTGGCTATAGGAACGTTTTCAAGATTCTACTTCAAAAATATCCTAGGCAAAAGAGTGAAAAGGGAGCTCATATACTGGGAAATTTTTTTTTGCAATGGTGTGTCAGAAAAGGGACTTAATATAAAATTTATGGAAAACTACATCTCTACAAGAAGAAGACAAACAACCCAATTTCAAAATGAGTGCAGAACATGGACAGATAATTCCATGGAATACATCCAGGTAGCCACAAATATATGAAGAAATGTTCATGACCATTAGCTACTTTTGTTGTTATTGTTAAGTGCTGTTGAGTTGGTTGACTCATAGTGACCCTGTATAGGGTTTCTGAGGCAAATCAAAACAACAATGAGATATCACACCAACATTAACAGCGAAGTTCAAAAAAACAGAAAACAGCAAATGCTGATGAGGATGTAGGGAGACTAGAACCCTCTGACATTGATGGTGGGACTGTAAAATGGTTCAACCCCTCTGGAAAACAGTGTGGTATTTCCTCAGAAAGTTGGAAATAGAAATACCTTATGACCTAGCAATCCCTCTAATTGACACGTGTCCACAAGAACTGTGAGCCAGGTCACAAGTAGATATATGCACAATGTTCATAACAGCACTATTCACAATAGCAGAAAGAGGGAGACTGCCTAAGTGCCCAACAATGGCAGAGTGGGTAAGTGAACTTTGGCATATAAGCATAATGGAATACTATGCAATGCTGAAGAGTAACAGTGAATCTACGAAACACCTCATAACTTTGATGAACCTGGAGAACATTATGCTGAGTGAAATTACTCAATCACAAAAAGACAAATATTGTATTAAGGCCATTATTGTAAAAGGTTTCCAAACTTAAAGAAACATTCTTTGATGGCTCTCAGGGGTGGGAGGGAGTTAGTGTAATTTGCTAGCTAAAGAGTAGACACATGTTAGCTCAGGTGATGGAGAGGGCACTTTAAATCTTTGAGGGAGCAGAAAGCCTCATCTTTCTCCTGCGGAGCGACGGGTAGGCTTGAACTGTGGACCTTGTGGTTCACAGTCCAGTGCTTATCATATGGAGCATTCTTCATATTATTAGTGTTATTAGAAATTTGATTTTTTTTTAAAAAAGATAGCTAAGTTGTTTTGTGTCACTGTTGTTTGAAAGATGTGCTGTTAACTCAGTAGCTTTGGGGGGAAATTATGCACTTTTCCCTCTCATCAACTATTTTGTTATCTGACATTTCACATTTACAAAAATAGTGAAAATTCTATCCAACTATTTTGCACATTAACAACATACAAAAGTAATGAACACCAATGTGCAAGGTTAAAGTGCCATGTGCTCTAATTAGTTTATATGCCAGGTTGGCTGGGCCATGTAGCTCAGTGGTTTGGCAACTGTGTGATGGTAGTTGCCAGTTATGTGATGACATAATCATCCGTAATCTGATGTAGTCATCTTCCATTTTCACCATAACAGCCTGGCCTGTGGTGTATCACCATATAAATAAGTTAGGAGAAGGTATACATTAAACATGCAAATGGATTAAAAGATGTGTACCAATTTCAGGAATGTTCAAACTCCAAGTTATGAGTCTTAAGACAAAGGAAATACAGAATTTACTATTGGGTATATACTTTGTGAACACTTACAACATAAATGTTTAGATCAACTAAAGTCCTGCCCTTGTGCCCTAATTTTTACCCTATACCTTATACCTATACACATAGACGACTTCATCTTTATTCCATTATCAAATAAAAT